AACAAATATTGTCTGTAGTAATAATAGTTCCCAAATGTGTTGGGGATATCCCATCAACCAGACAAAATCCAAATGCTGATGTTAAACTAGCAGTAATGATGGTAAATTCATTAAGGGTATAGAGTTGTATGTTTACACCCACAACATCTCAACTCCTACTTCCTTTCATTGTCTGCAGTCAGTTACCCTTAAAAGTTCTTCTAATTCCTAAAGTAGAAATGAAATGAAACCACTCTAATATATTTCTACTATATGTCACCCCCCAACCTCTGCCCTTAAAAGTTCTAATAATTCTTAAAGTAGAAATATCAGGGTTACTAATAAATGATGAGCTTCCCCTTGTCTGCTGAATAATTAATTCATCAAAAAAAGGTATTATTATTATTAGCAATGAAAGGTGAAATTTTGCTAATCTGTGTAACTCCGAAAAGTGGTAAATCAAATGATAGACTAGTAGGCTCTATTTTCATTTTTAGTATCTTTCACTAAAGGTTTCTCCAATGCGAGGACACCTTTCTGATGGGTCACATGAAAGTAAGATAATATAAACAAATTAGACCTGTTTGAAATATCAATTTCAACTCCATTTATATCATAAAAGAAATGTTAGAGCCAATTTTTCTGGGAAGAGATTTTGCTTTGCATAGCAAAACCATCCAATATGTAAGCTCCACGACATGAGAACTCAATTTTTCAAAGTCCATACTTGTATATTTCAAACAATGGAAAGTTAAATTGAATCAAAATATTTCAGTTTTCAAACATGCCTGTCAATACTTTAACATTGAATTATTATATTATACTTTATACAAAAAGTTTAGAAAAATTAGCAATCACTGCTTGTTACTGAATGATGTAAGTGGATTTTGAAAAATAAGTATCTGAATGAGTGAAGAGATAAAAAGATTTACAAAATTTGGATCTATACATTGTGAAGCAATTGTAAAACCTACCTAAAAGTTAGGTAATAAGTATCCATACACTTTTATACTCTGTAAAAATTGCAGGGGAAAAAAAAGATTTGGAAAACAAGGACCGATCAATTGTTAATACTCTGTAACACTTGGTAGAAAAAATCTGCTAATAAGAAAAACATACTGCTAATAATCAGAAAAACTTGCAGGAAAAACATAGGTAAAAAAATCCATACATTTTGATTATTCTGTAAAACTTAAAGAAACAAAAAAGGGTATAAAGATTCATATATAGTTAATTATCTGTAAAACTTGTAGGTAAAGAAAGAAATCTATGGATAATAAGGATCCACTTGAAACAATAGGAAAGGATTTTTATTGTTTAAGTTACATTTTCAATATTATAATTTAGTTGTTTACTAGAGGGAGCTGCTAACTATGATGATTTAATAATCCTGAAACTTTGTCTAACAAGTCAAGACAAGGGTACATTATTTATAAATTCAAGTAATCAGTGTGTGAAGTTATTGAGAATTTAATGAGTTAATCAGTTCAGTGCCAATCAGTTATTGTCAGAAAAGTTATCCCATCTATTCTGCTTTTCACTTACTTGGTGAGTTTGTGAATTTATATATAAGTATTGTTATATGAAGTTAAACCTAAATCAGTTTTACAGTTTATGTTGAAAAGTGTTTGTGAACTTATGCCTACCAAATAATCCACAAGAGCCTGTCAAATGAAAAAAACAATGTTACAACAACATGATGTTAATATCTATAAAACTTGCATAAAAAAATGTCTGGGAAATAAATATGCACATGTTGTCAGTGAACGTTACAAAATTTTGTTGAAAGAAGTGGAATGTAAACTTTGAGAGACAGTCTGTCTTTACTTCTATACCAATATACAGAATAATGGTCATTGTACACTCAAGCAGTGGTACCAAGTTCAAAATCATAACAAAAAGTATAATCAATCTTTCACAATTTCTATCAAAATGATAAGTAAAGTACAAAACAAATTTTATGCATTCAAATAAACAAATTTTCTTGGCTTTTGAAGAAAAAAAAGTGGAACATGTGAGAATTAGCAAATAATAAAATTTAGCCTGATTTTATAATTATGAAAATATAATTTGAACTATGATATACATTTTATATTAACAGTTTCATTTTGAGTTTACTTAATCATTAAGTATTATTTTATTCCAAGTTACAGCTTTTCCAATAAGGAAGATTATTTTTTTAGAAAACCTTCTTTTACCATTAAAACTTGTGTACTTGAGAATGATCGCACCAATGATCGAAACATCACAGCTATTCTAAAAAAAAAAACTTTCTTGCTGCAAAAGCTGTAACTTGTAATAAAATAATTTTTTGTTATTGTTTCAATGGAATAATCTTTTTTTTTAAACCACAACCAATGAAATAGGGTCCAAAATATGGATAACATAAGTGAACATTATCTGATAATTAAATGTCAGCATTTTCTTAAATCAAAAATGCATTTCCAATAATGCTTACCTGCAGCTAAGCATTGGTCTGATTTCTTCTTCCTTGCTACTGTCTTTTATTCACCACTTAATTGCCCTTGGAAATATTTGTCTCTTGACACTCTCCACCTATATCAATGCACCCCCTATCCTGGTTCTGTATATATTAGCATCTCCTTCAGATAATATTGTCACTTTTTCGAGACTGACCCACTTCACAGTCTCTAACACTGAGAAGGAAGAATGGGAGAGTTTGAGAGGAGGCAAGAAAACTTCCAAAACATACTTACCTCCTCTCACACAACAGCTACAATCCCACATGAATAAGGTGGAGGGACCAGTGAGGGCATTATCCATACAAAATGCATATGCATAGATTGTGGGCATGCCAAGAAAAAAGAAAATTAGCATCCTAGTGGGGGAGCCACACTACATCCAGAACAGGTATGCCCTTCATATAGAACCCAAATCATGCACTGTGAGTGGAAGCTGATGTGATCTATCATCACCATCATCTAGGCCCCACGGTTTGGGGTTGGTATTATAGGACCATGTCCCTTAAATCCCACATTGGTGACTAGGGTATTTGGAACACAATATATGTATTTGTGAGTGGATCCCAACTTGTAGCTATAGATTGTTTCGTTCCATCCACTGGAATCATGACGAGAAGGTAAGCAATACTGAAGTAGACAAAACTTCTCCTCAGCCTGAAGAAGTCCAAAAGGCAACACCCCAAACTTGGAATGACAGGATCCTGTATGCCATACTCAATCTGAGGAAACAGAACTCATTCAGTCTGGAATTATGAACACTCATCCTCACTTCCAAACTGTGTGGGCAAGGTAAATTCCACTTGCCCCCAGAATTATGGAAAAGATGTGGATCAAACTGTGCTCAATCAAGGACCCAGGACGGGACCACTCTGTGTTCAGAATTAGCTTAAGATGACTCCTACCCTGCCAAAATTGACATTTGTGTCCTCTAATCCTACTATTCTCACTGTTAAGTATGAAAAAAGATGGCACAGCAACACTATCAATTCCCTTTACAATCTTAAACATTTCAATCAGATCCCCTCTAACTCTTCCTTTTTCAAGAGAAAACAATTTCAGAGATATTAATCTCTCCTCATATGACAACCCCTCCATTCTAGTAACCCTCATCTGAATCTTTTCCAACAGTTCAATGTCCTTCCTAAGGTAAGGAATTTAAGACTGAACACAATACTCCAAATGTGGCCTAACCAGTGACCAGTATAATGAAATTATAACCTCATTAGATGTATATTCAGTATTTCTATAGATAGAACCTAAAATCCTATTTGCCCTACCACTAATAACAGCACTCCGCTTGGGTGGCTTAATGCTTTGACTACAACCTATTTACATTATAAGTAGGTATACAACTCTCGTGAAAATTCTTTACAAAAAATGAAACTAGTGGATGAAATTCTTTTAAATTTGAGATGAAAGGTCCTATAAGTATGTAGTTTTTGAAAATAAGATATTTAATTTTCATTTTTTCTAAAGCAATGTTTTTCTCATGCCTTTTTATTCTTTTTTGCATGTTGCCTATCCAACATAGAAAGTAATTTTCATTTTAAGATTAAAAATACTTTTATCCTTCAGAAAATTCTCCAATTTCCCATGTGAAATTCTTATAATGTCCAGATTTTTTAATAAAAAATGTTATATTGTATCTTTTATTTTCGCTAATGAATATCTGTACGGACTTGGTGGCTTTGACCAATCTCAACCACCATAAAAAAAGTTATGGGGTTTTTAATTCTAGAATGACTACAAATTATAACATGAAAACATAAATGTTAAGACTAAATAGCTTAAATCTCATCACATTATACATTTATATATATATATATAATACCAAACTTTAGCTCTTCAGTATATTGAGACCCCAACTGTGAGAATGTCGTAGCTTCCCTGTATTATTGAGATGAATGTATTTAGCCTGTTTCACAACCAACATATGGGTTTTATTGTTGTCACTTGTACACTGAGTTTGGACCATTTGCAAAATATCAGAATAAACTATATATATATATATATATATATATAT